ACATGTTCAGATGTCTCAGATTTATATTAAAGGCTGAAATCACGTTTTTGTACAATTATGATTTTAAAATAACAATTTTATCGTGCAGGTTATTGTTATGCTCATCTCCACGTACAACAATCGCATCAAGGACAAAAACAGAAACTGCTTAAATATGATGGAAAAAAGACGACTGCATTCAGCACCAGCTACATCTGCTCCTCAGGCACCTGTGCGCCGCTGTGCCCCCAGCAATACTCGCCACTTTGCTTCAAATGACTGTCATGTATTGTTTTTAAGTGCATCTTACTTGTGTGTGAGTTTCTGCATTAAAATTTATTTCCGCTAGAAATGTTTGGGATTTTTAGGAACATCTTTTTGCTCCGGTATCAATTGAAAGAGATGCAGATGAATGTTAATATAATACATGTCCATTATTGATCTCAATACAATAGTTCAATAAAATCGCCACAGTATAACAAAGCAAATGAGCTCAATAAGTAAAAATCAAGGTAAAAATAAAACATAAATAAATAAAACACATTGAAGGTGTCTCTGAGTAAAACAGGTCAATAAATTCAATGATACTAAACAAATCATTTAAAAAAAACGTACCTGATGGCGTGAGAGGGCTCATAGTGCTCTGGAGAGGATGGCGGTGTGATGTCATCACTCAATGATGGGACTTTGCTCTCTTGAACTTGTGATGCGTTGAACAATCGCTTGACCACGCCGACGTCCTGCTTTTGTCGCTTTGCCTTTGGAGCTGAAAGAGGCAGGCTTAGATTAAAGCTGCAAATTAGACAGGTGTAAAATACAGGTGCACCCTGAGGGTGAACTCACTGATGGGCTGATTGTCCAGCAGGTGCTCTATATCCGAGATGTCGTCTCCTGGACCCTGAATGGGGCGTTTCCCCGGCTGGCAAGTTTCCTCTACAATGTTAAAGCACACATAAAATCATACATTAATTACTTCCTGGAGACTTAACCCTAACTTTATCTATCTTCACTTTATCACCACCATCCTCCTGAGCCTGACCGATTTGCTATCAGACCAGTATGGCTGTTTGCTGATCAGCTGACAAATGAAGAGGATGAAGAAGTGGGAGAAACACCCTTCAACCATGTTATAGGTGTTGAAGTTGCAAAATCTGTCCTCAGAGGGCGCTCTGCAACTTCC